GGGAAAGAGGATGGGCTCGCCCGCCCTTCGCTCTCTAGCCCGGTCACTTGACTGACCCTCGGTCTCTTCTGCACGTTTCATCGCAGCGTGGGTGCTGAGCCCCATCTGGGTCTTCCTCGGGCGGTGTTCCTGAGGGTCCTGAAGTGGGAAGGGACCTCGGCAGAGGCAGCGCTGATGGGCCTTTCCCTTCGAACGCGCGCTGCTGCCTGCGGAACTCTGCGGGGGAGCATCGCTAGGATGCGGGGCGGGGCTGTATCTTCTTACACAAGCTGATGACCCCAAACTTGGCTTCTGAGTGAACTCGCTTGGCCTTGCATCGGGCTGCGCCAAAGAAGTGCTTGGAAGAATTTGGATTTCATGTCGTCTGGGGGTTGCCAGCCCTGGACTGGGGAATACCGGGAGATTTGGGGGATGGAGTCTGGGAAGAGGAGGGACCTCAGTAGGGTATAATGCCATAGAGTCCGCCTTCCAAAGCATCAATTTTCTCCAGGTGATGTGATCTCTGTCATAGCAGATCTCCAGGGGCCACCTGGAGGTTGGCAACCCTATGTCATCAGAGGCTAGTCAGTGATGCCCCAGGCAGTAGGCTGGTGAGGATGCCTGGCTCCTGGGATAACTCCTGCGGCAGAGTAATGCGCCCAAGAAAGGGAATATTGTGGAAAGGTAGAGGAAAAGGAGTTGATTTCTGTAATGTATGCCAATGACATTGTGGTCAGAAAGTGGGATATTTAATGGTAGTAGCTAGAACAGCAATAGCTTTCAGATGGAAGAATCAAAAGGCTCCATCCTTATCAAGATTAATAGAGCAGTGCAATTTCCTAAAAACTCAAAGGTTGATGAAAAATGATATCCAGTCCTAGAATATCTGGCAGATCAAAAATTTGTATCAGATGAATGGTCTCAGTTGCCGGAATGGTTATAATTTGTTTGAGGTATAGTCATTGTAACAGTTATATCAGAGTTTAGAATATGTATTGTTACTATGTAAATGTTCTTCCTTTATACATGAAAACATGCTTATGTAAATGGTTACTTTTCATTGTATCATTACTGTTTCTTTGTAATAGTTTATGTCACTCTATTGGATATGGTTTTTGTAAGTTTGTTATTTCAGTAAAGAAAGTTTGAAAACTCAAAAAAGAAAGTGGGATATAAATCTAACATAATACTTCTGAAGTAGCAGAGGACAGGTTGCATTTTATCAATGCCATCTTTGGGTAAAAAGCACCCTGCAAGAAGAAAGTGAACACATGAGAGAAGCTGACTTAGCTGGAACCACTTTCTTTGATATATTGGAGATTTTTATGTAGCTAGGTATGGTGTTTTTAGTTTTTTTTAAATAATCTGGGAGATTCAGAATCGGCATCTCACTGGCATTCATTATTGGTGGATACACTTTGTTACCAAATTTTGTTGAATGTGTAAACCAGGGATCCTCAACCTTTTTGAACCTGTGGCTACCTTTGCAGCTTTGAGAGGGGGTAGTGGGTGCCAAGGGAAGTACTGACCAGTGCCATGGTGCCCATGGCTCCACATCCAGGAACCCTGTAAACTAATCCCTTCAGCCATCATCTCATTGCCTATTGTTAATTCTACCAGGTAGCAACCACAAGCCCGTTAAACTGTTCTACTGATTACACTGCGGATCATTGTTGATCTATAGTCTGAACTGTAATTCAATAAAATCGGCAGTCAATACAACTGAATGGGCAAAAACGGTTTTACCAGAAATTAAGATGCTAGAATAGCTACATATTTTACCATAAAGCAAGGATGAGGAAATTGAAAGGAACTTGGGCACTTCAAAGGACAAGCTTAAACTTATATGCATATTGCCAAAGTAAAAGAAGTTTTTTAGTCATCATAAAAAACATTTGAACATAAAGCTTCAGACTTTCCCTTGGTAAATCAGATTTACAATACTGCAATATTCCTGGACCTAGCACTGCTCCTGGATTACCAGGTAGCAGTTGTGACTCAGTGGGCCAGGCCTGGCAGCAACTATCAGGTGACTTGGTACTACACAACTTGTACAACTCATCCAGATCTGGCTGCTTGGTAATGTTAAACTACTCCATGATAGCTGGTGTGGCATAGTGGTTAGAGTTTTACATGAGAATCTGATTCCTTCTATCTGAAAGAAAGCTCTGATGGTACCGACTTTTAAGAATAAAGGAAAAAGGCAGGACCCACAGAACCATCACCCAATTCCCCTCCTCTCAGTTACTGGGAAACTATATGAAGCTTATTTAAGCATACAATTGAAAGAATAGATGGAGGATCTGGGAGACCATGATTCAAATACCCACTCTGCCATGAAAGCTCACTGGGTGACTTCAGGCCAGTCACACACTTTTCAGCCCTTTTCAGAGGGTTGTTGTAGAGGATTAAGTGGAGGAGAGGAGAATAATATAAGCTGCTTTGGGTGCCAACTGTAGAGAAATATGGGATATAAATGAAATAATAAATATAGCTGGAGATGAGGAGCAGATAAAAGGAAAATTAGCAGGTGGGTGAGAGAAGGAAGTGGGGAAAGTTGAGAATATGGGGCTTGCCAGGAGAAGGGAAAGA